AAAATTTGATATATCAAAACTATATCCTAAGATGAATCCGATTTTACCAGAATATATAATATAATTATATATACTTTTTTCGCAAATCGTGATCAAAGAGTGTAACTGTTTGATAAAAAAATCAAAACAAGAAAGATTTTTAGAATCGGAGGTAATATTTATATAGTCAAATTTATTAATTTTTATTTTCTATTTTCGTTACTTATTTCATAAAATAATACAGAGTATAATCATATCACATCTTATTTTGTAGAGCTTTTGATGTAGTTTTTAAATATATAAAATTTATTCTTTAATTTTACCTCAATTTTTCTAATGAATTTCATTGAAAAAGTTTCAATCAAACATTATAAATTGAAACAAATAATTTATATTGAAAGTTGAAAATAGTTCAAAATATCTGACCCACAAAAAAATCCAAAGAAGGAATATCACCTGAAAATCAAAGCTGCACTCCTTTTGAGGAAACAACAATCCAAGATGGAGTGGATTACTGAGGCTGACCAAGGTTCAAAAATGTTCCATGCATGGGTTAAAAAGAGACAAATACAGAACCAAATAGTAGCCATTAAGGATGGTGATGATAACCTGGTGAAGGATGCAGATGGAGTGGAAAGGGTGATTATAGACTACTACCAAACACTTTTGGGATCAACCACATATACGGAGAACATCCAAGGTGACATTATACAGAGAGGGAATGTCCTTTCCTTAGAGCAGCAATGTTTTTTAATCAAACCATTTTACGAAGAGAATGTGAAGAAAGCACTATTTGAAATACCCAATAGTAAGAGCCCCGGGCCAGATGGCTACTCTAGTGGATTTTACAAGAACCAATGGGATACAGTTGGGAGTTTATTCAGTGAAGCTGTACTAGAATTCTTCAGGGATGATATGACATTAAAGGAGATAAACAATACAAAAATAATCCTCATTCCCAAAATGGAGAATCCCCAAGGGGTAAAGGACTACAGACCCATAGCGTGTTGCAATGTGATCTATAAAGTTATCTCAAAACTCCTATGTAGTAGGTTGAAGCATGTACTGCCACATATCATCAACCAAAACCAATGGGCATTTGTGGAAGGAAGAGAGCTACTACATAATGTACTACTCTGTCAGGAGTTAGCCAAAGGGTATAATAGAGAAGGAATGTCAGCTAGATGCATGATCAAACTGGATATTACTAAAGCCTATGACTCCATAAGCTGGAAAGCCATCGAGGAAATCATGATATATTTGAAGTTCCCAGATCAGTTCATAAAATGTGTACTCTTTTGTATAACCACACCATCATTTACAGTGAGTATT